CAATTAAAATTTATACGTCTTTGCAGTGTTATTAAAAATTGCCCAAACCTGCACCGGATTACATTCGATCAATGGGGACAAATAACCAAAGACAGAAACATGAGCCATCGACTTGACTTGCTCCCCTGCGCTAACCACCCTGTATTCCACAACCGAATTAATTAGGTCGAAGATCCCACTAGCGCACGACTCTACAGCGGCTACTCCTCCTCCGATGAATACTCCTTCACGGCAACCCGAGATGGCAAATACGTTTACTGCTTTGGCAACGAGGCATGGTCATCGAATACCAAAGAGGTCTCCTTCAACGTGCATGGACTTGTCTACGTTCCTGAATCCGAAGCCCCTATTGACCCTCTGGAAGCTGAAGGTTCGATCTGCCTATGCATACACCCACATATACTTATACCTTATGATTATTTTTTTCTACGACGAAAGTACCAATTGCTAATTGGAATCTTCTTTTTGCGGGTGATAGTTCGCAAATTATCCGATGAATTGACACAGGTTAAAAACGAGCAGCAATATATTGTCATTCGGGAACGCACGCATCGCAATACAGCTGAGAGCACCAATGCGAGAGTGAAGTGGTGGAGTATTTTTCAGCTTGCTATCATTATTGGCGAGGGAATTTTCCAGGTCTGGTGGTTGAAGCGGTTCTTTGAGGTGAGTTTTGTTTTCTCCTCCCAGACAAATCTTAGGGTATTATTTCATCTTTGCGGCCAGCATTGACTGACATGATTTTCACTATAGGTTAAACGTGTTGTTTAAGTCGGTATCTTCTTGTTTTCAGTGTTTCTTTTTTGGCTCAAGGATATATTTTATATGCTGTAGCATTATTTTTTCTTAATCATGAATAGCGAATGAAGAATAGAAAAGAGCGCTTGTTTTTACATCATCGAGTCCTTTACCACGGAGAAAGCAATCAAAAAACAAGAATACACCCAGAGCTTTTGCGGTTTTCTGTGGTACGTTTTATTCTCCAGGTAGCATATATCTACTCTTTGAGCATCGGTTGCTTTTATTACCCCAGTTTTTAATATGAAATCTGTTTTCTATGTTGGAGTCGGTGTGGTGTGTCTATTATCCAAATTACTTTTACCCACTGTTTTATATTATAAGAATTAGAATTGATATGAATTGACCGTATGTTTCTTTACGAGTGGAACAGGCTTGAGGTTCCGTGGTTAGCTTCATGAGAACGAGCGACTTAAACTCTCCGCTCCTCCGCTCACCCCATTCTTATATTTCCACCCAACCTCTACACGTTACAGTACTTATCAATCCTGATGGTCAGGATTTTAATTTCACATGTTTTTTGCAAAAAAAAGAATATATACTGAGAAGAGTGGGACTCGAACCCACGCAGGTTGCCCTACTACGAATCTTCTTCGTCAGAATCGTCAAATTCTTTTACCGAAGGACCTGAACGTAGCGCCATAACCGCTCGGCCATCTTCCCATTTTTACAGACATTGTGGGCGGATATTATGTTTGATTATCCTCGGGTTCCAAAGGTTGTCTGTTCGTTGTCTAAAAAAAGACATGAGTCTGGATTTGGGTCGAGATAGTAGGGGCTTGGCATTCGCAGCTATTTAATCTCGATCCTGGGACCTGGACTAGACATATGACATCTCTCAGCATCCATCGCTAACTACTACTATCAATGCTCTCACTTTATTTATCATGAGCATTTCGCATGCCACTCAGGACGGTGTCCACCGGAATATCTATAACATAGCTCTCCCTCATCGTGCGTAGCATATTAATTTATATATCTCCATGGCCACTGGCACGGAACCCGAGCTCGAATTCCTATCTCATAATATCTCGGATATATGGCCGGAGTTTCTTAACCGTCACCGAAAACATAAGAGTAACGGTGATAGCGGCGACGACGACGACGACGATGATCGGTTGTTCCAGTTCTGCTGGCGACGGCAATCGTGTGGGTCCTGTCTGGAGGCGTCGAAGGCGTGTAGTTGGTGTGCTATTGTATGTAATTTTTTTCTTTGCTTATCGGTTGTGTATGTTTTTGTTGTATCTATTCGCCATTTCTATAACATGTAATCTCACCATGTGGTCGTGTTCGTTGAGAAAAGAAAATATGGGCAATAAATAAAATATGCGGGCAGCTTTTCATCTCCCTGTTATGTCCCAACTCGACCCTGACCCCCACCTCCACCTCTACCTCCAATTTATCTGTAAACCCTTAATATACAAACAACCAACAAACTAACTCTCCACACCTCAGTCCTCAGCCTGCATCCCCAACCGCTCTCCCTTCCCCCTCCTCGCCCCGCTGGAAAATTACACCCTCTGCCCTCTTGGCCCTCACGAGCGCTGGGAGCTACGCTCAACCCCGCTTGGCTGCAATGTCAGCACCGCCACGTTCTTGACTGGTGTGGTTTCAGTGCTGAGCACGTTGGTGTTTGTGTTGGTAGGGTGGGTGATGGTGATGGTTATGAAGATGGGGTGGAGGGGATTTGTGTCGATGAGGAGGAGGAAAAATGGGACGGGAACGGGGGCGGGGCCAGGGTCGGGATGGGAATGGATGGATGGGTTTAGATTTGTTGTTGGTGGGAGGCGATGGTTGAATAGGATGGGGCAAAGGAGGGTTGTGGTTGTTTTTGATGAAGGGACCGAGGGGGGGGAGAGGAGGCCGTTGCTGGTCTAGGGGAGGGAAGGGGAGGTTTGAGAGGAGTCTGCTGAGATGTATGGTCATTATTATGACTGTATTTACGATTATGATTTACGTCTGTATGGGAATAGGTGGAGGAGCTTTTCAGGAGGTTGCCGTGGTTACGGAGGCATAGGTTTCTATCTAGAGGTCTGTTTTTTGATGTCTGTTCTAGATCCGTGATATGTTTTTTTTCCTTCGGTTTTCTTTGAAGCGAAGCGTTCAATAATAGCTGAGCTTTATATGCAATGCATGTCATCGCATTTCCAATATAATTGTTCAAATAAGTTCTCTAACGCAGATTGTAGATGATCATCCTGTCATACATAACTGCTTACCATAATCCAAATTCAAAACCTCACAAAACAGTACGGAAAAGAGGCATTTAGGTACGCTGAGAAAAAAGGACAGTGGAACTTCGGAACTGTCAGAGACATCATATCTAGACTACCCGTCTTCCGACGTCCTCACATCTTCAGTCCTTGTAAGTAACCTTGCTAACTTTATACTCCACAATGGTGGGATTGCCCTTCACGTAGATAAAGTGTCCAGCTGCAACCCATACGCCTGTTTCAAGGCTTGCGTATTTTTCGTTGCCAGTCTGGTTGTGTTAGCAAAGCAGGCAGAATTCAGTAGCGGAAGGGGTGGAGATATTTGGAAACATTGTTCCCGCTTTGAGTAAAAAGATATTATGCTAACCTGGAAAGTGAGATGGGTAACTATAAACTGTAGTGAGCTAACAGATCAACCAAGTGTAGATAGGCAGCGGAAAGTATTGGAACATACATGAATTCCCAAAAGGAGTAACTGTCGACTCTGACTCGCCGCTCAGGATTGAGGAGAGTGCTGGGGTCATGTCGACAATACCCGTATAGTTGAGATAGACGGTCTGGAACCAAGATGCTCAGTTAAATAACTATAGCAACTTTGTTTGTCTGGAATGGCCGAAAATCTTATTTCAACTCACCGCATCATCCGTTGTCCTTTAAACAAGGGAGAGAGAAAAAAATATCAGTCCAGCACCTTCAATCATCATGCACCACCTTCCAACCAGTGACTAGGCGTCAAAAGAGAACAGAGCAACTCGCTAATGTAAGCTTTACATACTTAATGACACCATGGGCATTGAGTCGCAGATGTTTTCCATCAGGATCAACGTATATATAATCGTTTCCCTGGCCGACAAATTCGCCATTGAAAACTGGGGTAAAGCTGTTTTCACTCTTGACGGTTCCTGAGATCATGGGCTATACATTTCAAGCACAGCAAGCGGAATAATAAGCCCATGAATTGCTACGGTTTTGCCGATGGAAATGGAAAGTAAAAAAGGTCCAAAGAGGTAAGAATGGCACATACAGTAACCATAAGCTGTGTTCCGCGGGCAGCACTGCCTGTTATGATTTCATTGATCGAGGTTGTTAGACAACTAAAAAATACGGGACATGAAATCAGATATAGAATACACATACCAATAGCAGTTGGAGGCTGTATTTTAACCTATTTCAATTACAAAACTTGGTCAGTTATTTCGAATATATATCACTTAAGATATTTTACGGGGAGAATGCGTGTAACTTTCGCCTTCTCCACCAAGCACAAGCAATGCGGGGTAGCGGTACCTGGATAGTGAACGCTGGCTCGAGGCTCGGGAAACCAGACATGATTGAGTTTTTTGCGTAATGGATTTCTGTTGATTGTTTTGATAAGAAGGGAGCGCAGATGTCGAAAAGAATGTCGAGCTCAGGGTCAGGTGGAGGTGCAAATATTCCCGCACTGTTCTTGCCCGTGGTTCCAGACAGGGTTACAGTTGAATTAAATCATAAATGAACTTTATAACGAATATCGCGTTCTTCTGTTCGTTCTGTTATCCTCCCATCCGGGAGCTTCGCTATAAGGGCTTTCTAGATCACGTGCAGCAGGCGGAGCGTAACACCGGCTTACAGCACTCAAGCATTGCAATTAGTTATTTTAATTTCAGAATCTAACAGTTTGAAGATAATGTAATTTTGCCTTGAAGAGTCCACTGCCTTTTAATGAGGTTGCCACCTTCTTCGCTCTGCCTCTGCATTCCAATCGCAACCATTGTAGGCACTGCATACAGCATCTCTAGCTCTTCCTCGGATGGGGCTTCTAAGACACACTGACCCCTCTTCACGGTGACTTTCAATGTTGCTCCATGGTTTCTTCCAGAACTTGTTTAAATTCATCGCCCTCCGATTCTCAAAGGTCCTACTCAGACAATCCGCTCTTTCCGTTATGATTTGCTGGTGGGGGGCGTTTCCCTCCTCAAAAAAAATAAATCAATAAAAATAAAAAGAAATCTCCCCGACAGGGAATCGAACCCTGGTCTCCCGCGCTTGAAATGGGATTTGATGACAAGCGGAAATCATGACCACTAGACCATCGAGGATAGAGAGTATCTCTGTTGATATTTAGTTTGGCAGAATGACAGGAACAAGGAGATAGGGGAGAGAATACTGACAATATCAGCAAGAATAATAAGCTTGCCAGAAAGAAAGAGAACCATTATTAACATAGCACGACCTCACTCCAACCTTGCTTGCGAAGGCACATTGAGGAGTAGAAACGAGGTGGCCAGTGCTTTTTTTGGAGTCCACCGGGGAATATTGTCCACATTTCTAAGCCTGGTTATCTGTAACTATGGTTGTGCGCTGGATTCACTGAGTTTTATATTTACATGCCCTGAGTCCATCTAAGCTTTACATGCGCTCGGTTACGGAACTCGATATTGTTCAGCATGTACTCATGTGCTGCTCCAATCCACGGCATACTGCAGTCGTATATTAAAATAGCCACTCATATCGTATGCGAGCTCTTCACACTCCCTAGGGACCTAGGCATGGATGGTTCTTTGTCAGGCGTGCAGACCAAAGGAACTCACCTTGAGGGCCAGTGAATTCAGAAAGGGGAAAGAAGATGTGAAAGAGAATAGATTTGTCGTTTTCTGAAAGGTGGAGGTCTTCATCGAACCTTGGGTCATTTTGTTTCAGCCTTAAATGGGTACGGTACGAACAGGCGGATGTTTCTGGATTACCTAATTCAAATTAGGATTAGTTAACTAACTAGTTAGTTAACTAGTTGACAGTTGGGCATGACTGCCACGTGATATACGCGTATATTAGTTAGCCTAGCCAGACCAACATTAACTATAACTTAACCTAAACTAAGTTAGGCAGTCACATGGTCTTGCCACTTTGGAGGCTGGCATGCCAACGTTGACTTCGGTATGGATCTTTTCTGGAATGACAAGAAAATGAGAGACGTTGTCGTTGAATATCTGCATTATCTCTGCATTTAAACGAGCACAAGGGGATTCTGCATATGCTGCTTTTGCTGTCTTCCGCGCAAACCAGGTGATGGCGGGTTTAGGGCGCAGTTAACTAATGTGACCACCAACTTTTCTCCCTATTCGCTCGATTGATATTGCCCTTTCAATTCATCGAAGTTTTCATATCCGTCGCTAAATGTTTCTAGACCTCGAAAAATTGGCTTCATTGCCAGCCAAGAAGTAAGGGAACCATGGCCAAGCTCATCGTGACTATCTCCTTTCTGGCAGTCTGGCCGCTGCAGGGTTTTGCGGGGGTTCTGTATCCGCTGGCACTAGAGCCTGGGAAAGAACGTGGAGAACACGACCAAAAACTCCATGGTCGTTTTCTGCATATAACTGGTTAGTTTAGCTGCCTTTGCGCCCTAATTCTTAACTGCGAAACATACATACCAACTGTAATCACTTCGAAGATATACATCTTGATACATACTATAAATCGCATTCGAATCCAGACGACGACCATGAATGTCACAGGGGATCTGGGAATGCAGGCTACTTTGGAACTTCTGGCTCCAGCTGTGATTCCCCACTGGCCCTTGTAGATGCAACTTTTGCCTGGATCCAAGAAAACCTTGCAGACTCCATCGACTTTGTTGTTTGGACTGGTGATTCGGCCCGTCACGACAATGATGAAAAGACCCCTCGTACGGAGAAAGAGGTTATCAATATGAACCAGATGCTCGCCGATAAGTTTCATGATATTTTCTCCAAATCTAGTGGAAAGGAAAATGGAATGCGAATTCCTGTCGTCCCTACGATTGGAAACAATGATATAATGCCTCACAATATCTTCAAGAGCGGACCCAACCGTTGGACTAGGAAATTGGGCATGATTTGGGATCCTTTCATTCCAGAGGAACAGCGCCATACTTTCGTCGAGGGTGGCTGGTTCTATGTGGAAGTTATTCCCGATAAACTGGCTGTGTTCAGTCTAAATACGATGTACTTCTACGACTCGAACAGCGCAGCTGACGGATGTGAGGATAAAAATGAACCCGGATATAAACATATGGAGTGGCTGCGGGTCCAGCTTCAGTTCATCAGGAAAAGGAACATGAAAGCTATTTTAATCGGTCATGTTCCCCCAGCTAGGACAGACTCCAAAGAGAACTGGGACGAGACGTGCTGGCAGAAATACACGCTTTGGCTATACCAATACCGGGACATCATCGTTGGGAATATGTTTGGGCATATGAATATCGATCATTTCATGTTCCAGGACTCCAAGGAACTTAAATTCGGGTATGACGGGGTCGAATCTCACTACAAGCAGGGGAAACGGCAGGGTGCAGACGAAAAGGTATCAGTACAATCTCGCCTGGCTTATTTATCAAGCCTAAGGCGCGATTGGTCGCAATTGCCATATCCACCTGAGCCTTCACCATCTTCATTTGTATTTGTTAACGATAGCCACCACCACGATGATATCCATCTTTTGGATTCTTCCTCAAGCCGCAAAAAAAAGAGGATGGGAGAGTATTTGAAAGAGATTGGTGGCCCCTGGGCGGAGAGATTCAGCGTATCGCTCGTGTCACCCAGCATAATTCCAAACTATTATCCAGCGTTGCGCGTCATCAAGTACAATACATCCAGTTTAGAGAACGTTTCGTTATGGTCGGAAGTATCAGGACAACATAACAAACCATCTTTTCGAACTTCGACTCTGTCTGAGGACTTGGATTTTGAAGGTCAAAATCTATCCGCAAAAAAGAAGAAAGGAAAGAAGAAGAAAAAGAACAAGAAGCCAATTTTTAAAGTTCCGCACCCACCGTCTTCCACCGCGCCTCCTGGGCCAGCATATTCGAACCAACCGTTCACTTTACTTTCGTATACCCAATACTTCTTTAATTTATCAGACATCGATACAAAAACGATGGTATCAACAGCGAATCATTACTCCAACAACCAAAACCCTCTCCACTGGACCAGCGGCCGTTGGGGAAAGCCCGACCGCTATAAGCCAAGATCCATCTCCTTTGAAGTGCTTTATGACACTAAAACGGACAAGTCATATAAGTTGAAGGATTTGACCGTCAGGAGCTATTTGGATCTCGCCAGAAGGGTTGCGCAAAAGGATTCGGAGGAGAAAGACCAACCACTGGTGCTTCCAAATGCTGATGCTAGATGTCAACAGAAAGCCGAAACCTCTGATGGGCCGACTGGACCGCCTTTGGACGAAGAGGATGACAAGTTGGACCCTCTATGCACGGAGATAGAATCACCACTGTCGGCAGTGACGAAGTCTCGTGAAAGTATCTGGGCAGTGTTTGTACGACGGGCATTTGTGGGTTATTTCGATAGTGACGTGATGCAGTAATGGATATATCCGAATAAGTTTAATATTTTCCTATATAATTTCGAATTTTGGCATTGACTTCTTGTTGTATGGGTTTTTATTCGGATTTCTGGTACGTTTATATTGGTTTTTTTTACGTATTTCTCCAAGGCCTTTCTTTTATTTTTGTATAATACCTGATTCTCGTTTGCAATACTCAATGTTAGGCCAATGCGTCGGTGCGTACGATGTGTATTTATTGCTTTGGGTTGTGAGCTTCTTTGGCTCCTTGATTTCCTAATCCCTGGGGGGGAGTGTCCTGAAATATTGAGGCGTGTAATTATATCTCATTTGGTAAAAGCCTGGTTCCTGGATGTAACATAAGATAGCCGGCGAAGGGTTAGAATGTGAAATAGTGGTGTTTACGTGGAATCATTATCTTATCCTTAGTTTCCTACGGTTCCCCTTGTCTGTCATTTGGCTTCCCTTATCCCTTCATTCTTCGCGCAAAACGCACGTTAAATGACGATTCCATCCATGGTATATTTGCTGTATAATTGTTGACGTCTGAGACATTCTGAACTTTCAGTGCTTGGGGAAATAAAAATTTTTATATAGAAGGACTTTTGCACAGGGCTTTGTACCATAGAGGATGCCTATTCAGGTCCTGGGGTTATTCCCTTTCGAAGATGGAAAGACTTCCTGAAATTAGACTTTAACAGGGTTTATCCCTGGGGTTGATTCATGATTGTCACGCTCGGGCTGTGGCATGCGGCGGCGTTGACTCAAGTGCTCTGGCTCTTGAGTATCCCCGGTTCGTTTCAGTCGATTGCTCTTCTAGGTGGTGGTTTCTCCCTTACCATACTACTGGTAGTCATTCGGCTGTAATTTAGCTTTCTTTTTTTTTCTCATCAAGTCAGCCAGGGAACGAAGATTTATTGTTCTTCTGATCTTAATTTCTTTCCGCTTTGTGACTTGAAAGACCAGATTTGATAAAGACGAAAGGAAGAAACACACAATGGCTAATGTCATCGGCTTGAGCCCCAGTAGAGAGATCTAATGATGTATTGCGAGGACTGTCAGGTGGATTCCATTGACAATGGATGAATTCATTGAGGAACGCCTCCAAAAGCCCCTTTATGAGGAAGAGCTCAAGAGAATGCCCAACGAGGATTGTAAGATTCTTTCCTTTATGTTGGTCCATTGTTAAGATCCACGAAGCTGGGATATTCATATCTCGTTGTTGTCAAATAATCTTTGTTCCAGGACCTAAAAGGGGTAATTATCATAGATTAGACGAATGCCGTCGGATGAAATCCTGGTATATAACATTCGCTGTTGGCTGACAATGCCATCATTCTCTCTGCAAGTTCATACGATTCGAGACTCTTCTCTGGGCGACACCGCAAGTCCATGTTCAAGGTTCGTCCATCGACTATATTCGACTTTTCAATCCCCCGAAGAACCGACGGAAAAGTTGATATATTATTATACCGTAATTCAGAGCAAAAAAACTTTTAACAGGTGCGCATTTCCGAATAGTTGCTATTCACACTGTGCGGTTTTGGCTAAAATTTTCATTTGGATCTGTCGATGGCAAGTGAAAACAACCCATCCCTCGACTCCGCATGGTATCGTACCGTGATTTATACTGATGCTGGCGGCGAATAGGTAACCAATCGAGGAATAGGGGGCGGCATTCGCCCCTCGAGTATGTGTAAAGAGCTTGATAGACTAGTGCACCCTGGTGGCTTTCGTCAAATATTTGAAGCTTACAGGAATACTACCCCCCCAATATAGGGAAATCTCTGTGGACAGACGAAGAAGAGATGTGGCTTATCGTTACTTGCATGGAGCAACACACCAACGAATGGCTCGCGCAGAATATACCGGGGAACAGCGGACGAACCTCACACTCCATTGCAGGCCACCTCGCAGATCTTCGTACAAAGGGCAAGCTCCCTCGAAGCTGGAGACAAGCAAATGTCAACAGGGTAACGTCTTGGTCAATCGCTGAGGACATGGAAATACTGGAGTGGATACTTCACGCCAAATCACGAATCGATCCTGTGGTATTCGTCGCCGCCGATCGTTCTGGAACGGCAATTACCAATCGAGCAGAATACCTGATGGCTGACGAGGGGTTCGCCGCGCTTGTTCATGACACCGAAGAGAGCCTTAGATTGGCCCAGCTTAACTACGACGTGACTGAGGAAGGTCCAGAGAAGGAGGAAGCATACGATATTCTCGTGATTGCCGAGGATGATAGCGATCGTCTCATCCGTGACGCACTGCAGAAGTCGCTTGCTAGTCGATCGTAATGGCTATTGTCGTTGTAGAAAATCTATCTGAAGCCAGGCTTAGGAAGGGGGATGGAAGTCATCTGCTGCTTGTGGCTCAGGTATTAGCATTGAATAGCAACAGCGGTCATTGTTAAATTTTAGCAGCAGAGTGATTTGTTTGGAAATGTTGTGGGAGATTGCTTTGTGGACATCTTGGTGTATTTATTGGCGGTGTGTGAGCGGTTAGGAGTTAGAAATTTAGAAAAATGAAGGAAATCGGCTGGACCATTTGCTTCAACTCTAACCCCTGCTCCCCAATCTGTCAAGGCTTTTGGTATGGATATTCGTAAAAATTTAAAACTTCGGGATTCACAACGCCAAAGAGAAAATCCAACAGCTGCCGTGGATGTCTCAATGAGTTAGCCGGCGCCGTGGATGCTGAAATGGTTGTTGGTATGTCTAACATCCATGAAGACATCGTCCGCAGTTAACCAAATACTTTGCCGTGGGTATTGTCATAAGAGCATGGATAATCGTCTAAATCAGAAATCAGTCGACGCCAGGATCCCCCCAATCTCGCTCGCTGTCTAATAGCTGTTTCACATGCCATTCATCTCGTCTACCATCTTGCCGTTTCCGGGAGATTTCGTGCGGCGAGGAGGGTTCCTCAGTTTCTAAGTCCAATTCGACTTATGTGATCCTGAGATGAATCCCCAAAGTTGATGAAATTGTGACGGTGCGAGTGCAATGCTCCCCGGCATATAGAGCTACCAGCCATCCTCATCCACAACGCTCAAGGTGCGTGTCAGTACGGTGCATTCGTAGTATGCGGGATAGAAGCCGCCGTCGTCCCAGTCAATAATCCCAGTAGCAACATAGTGATTATTGACGGAATCTTGTTTCACCATGATATTGTCTGTCCTGACATCACTGAGGGCGAACAGCAATTTATTCATCGAAATGTAATTGCCATGTTCCAGAAAGGAACGGAGGAGCTTGATGTGTGTGGTGCTGGTATGGTTGCAGCAGGAAAATTGCAAGTAATTGAACTCCAGAGCTGTGGTGATGCCTTTTAACAAGGTGCATTTGTTAACATGAATCTCTTTAGCCCTTTCTCCAGAGACTCCCCCAAGCATAATGCCGTTATTCTGTTGATGAGCTCTCAAACGGTAGAAGATGTCTTCCAGCTGATGCTGTATCAGTAACTTCTCATGTGACAGATTAGGCAATGCTTGGTCAACGTCATGTCTGGAATGTATGGCATGAATATGACGTGAAAGGGTCCGAATACAAACATATCATGGGTCTTGGAGCAGGAATATGGGGCATTCACTCTGCAAGGTATTGCATGCTTGTATACTCTGTATAATCCTTGTTTTCTATAATGACTCTGGTGACAACATTTTGTTGTACTTAACCATGACGCCTTTGATATGACTTTCTCAGAGCTTTGGCATTTCCTAAAGGAGTTGTTTCAAGACTACAATGAGCGATTTCTCTGCATCACTCGATTTGTCATTCAAAATGATCCTCTTAAATACCGTGCAAGCAAAGACAATGGAAAGATAACTCTAGTGGTCTCAGCAAGATCAAGGCGTGTGCTGAACTCGGGGGGTACCCCTTTCTCGGGAGCATCTTCCTCTGCACAAGGCACAATCTTGGCCCCAATCACCATTGTTATCCTGTGAGTATAATTCTTCGGAAATGCAGGTAACAAATTTACATCTGGTTCATCGCTGAGCATGTCATGAAGATCATCTGACATTTGAAAATTAATTTTCGTGGCATAAGATAGCAGACGATACTGGGCGTTTCGATGTTGACGATGATATGTTTTGAGGAATATTGACATCAGATCTGCAGCTGGATTTCTTTCCAGTGCAGCTGGAATTCAACTATAATTTCCACTCTCTGACTAATTCATTAGTTATTTGTTGCCGGGCTGCCGCCCCTATGGATATTTTGCAATGCGTGCCAAGGAGAACTCCAAGTCTGGGCAACATTGCATGAACAAAAGGTGAGCACTTTGCGAGCACTTGCTCAGACTCTTTTCAGCGAATATTGGTGGCTGGAAAATGTCAGACTGGAATGAACGTTGGAGTTCGCCTAATGAGTTGCCATTTAGCGCCAGTTGTGGCTGAGATTGTGCCTCACTTCCCAAGAACCGAGATGCTTTTCAGAAAGAACTTGGAAGTTTGAGATAATGTCGGGCACCTGAGTTTACAGATCTCAGAGATATGGATATTGAATAATATCGGGTGATTTCTCAAATGTCCAAAATTCCTATTGGGAGATAGTATACCATATCATGAGGCATTCTTCTAATGAATGCTACACACCACGTAAGATAGCAATCGAATCTGCATTTGATGAGGAGCACAAAAGAGAAATATTAAGCAGGGAGAAACATCATTCACCATCCTTCATTTCTCACTGTCATTCCTTGAGTGCCACGCTGGCATGCGCCCATCCCTTGCTTGCCAACCAGGCAAGGATTCCCCTCCTTCAAGGCGCTTTTCGAACTCTATTGAAGACAGTTGTGGATTGGTGTTGAAAATAGACAGCAAAAATGTACGATTTGTTGCTCATCCTCCGTCAAGAATCACCAGTGTTTGTGTCCGTACTGTAGATTGTGTTTCTCCTGGGGTGTACTCCGTAGTTTGTAAGCGGTGCCGAGACGACCCAGAATAAACTAAACCTGCTGACTGACGACATAGCAATCTTCAACTCCACCAAAGTCTCGACTGGGTAATTTTTAGATCGTGGCTTTTCTGTTTGTGTCCGGATGGATGTTGAGGAAGAATCTTATTTCTATAATCCGGGGAGAATAATCACGCCTTGAAGAGGCTCCTCTGAAGCGGAATTTGGGGTAGATTGTTGCCGGTTTTCCTTGGTTTTCTCCAGCGCCTAAGTTTGTAACCTTGTTATTTAGGGCAGCCCACCGGCTTAGGCAGCCCACGATGAGGAGTAGTCCTGGGTTAAAATGAAGAGTTCTGCCTTGACACGCAACCTACCACAGCTCTAGTTCGCCTGGTATGCATGCTATGCGACCTGCGGAGCCACCTCAACTGTTGCGCCAGAATTTGTTCCATTGCCAGACGACGCCTCCGGTGCGACAAGGACTGTGCCTTCGGTGTGTTGAAAGTGTGCATAATCACCACTGTTGTCGCTGTGACAATTCTTCATGCGGCTATTCTGTCACCTAGCAAGCCACCTTAAATATTGGTGGTTCATCGGAACGTTGGACTACATATCTGTTGACTAGACAAGCTGCAGGAGTGCAAAGAGTGACAAAAGAACAAGAAAGCAAACGATCAACAGCCTGCAGCCCAGCAACAGAGCAGCCCTATTTGCTGGCTGGTGATATCCATATATTTCCTCTATCTCTGCCACTATCCTGCAGCAGAGCGACATATCGGGTCTAGTGACATCTCTTCCATTTTCCTCGACTTCTCATTTGCTTACTGAGCCCCATCCCAACCTCCACACCGACAGATTG